TTATTACAGAAAGGAAAACCCCGGGCCACTGAGATTCTGTGAGGCTGGTGCACAAATGTACCCTGTGGTGCACTCAACGGTCCCACTCCCCACCGTGGGCCTGCTCCTTCCACCTTGGACAGCTGCCTCTCTGCCGACTGTCTCTGTAGTCCCCGCAGTGAGTGTGGGGCTGGTGACAGCCTTCAGACCCCACTGAGGTTTACTAACGTAACTAGCAATTGGCCTGGGTAAAGGGCTTTACACTGACTCCCTCTGTGAGGTTGTTGTCATCCCCATTACAGATGTGGAAACTGAGGCATCTGGTACCCCAGATACCTGTCTCTGCCTCTCCTGGAGTCTCTCCCCAAGTCTGGTGTGTATCTCTGAGCGTGTGACTTGCCCTGTCATTCTGGTTAACGAGGTCACAGGGTAATCTCTGACTGGGCTCTTCTCACAGGCATCCCAGAGAAGGCTGCCCATTTGACAATGACAGTCCTCACTGTGGAGCTGCGATGTGACTCTCGCAAGGCAAGCCCACACAGGACCAGCCGCTGTGAGCACTGTTCTGGGAACTCTGTTCTGACCACAGCAGGTGATGCCAAGCTAGTTTAACAGGAGCGTCATGGTCCAAGCATCATGGCAGGTGTACAGGTGTCCTACACACTACAAGTGACACCTGGAGAGCACTCCAGCAGAGTGGCCCAGGCCCCACAGGGAGATGCCCTGTGAACTAAGTATTAAAAGGAAGCTTGCTCAAGCTTAAATCCGACACACCTGCGCAAACGTGTCCAGAGAGAACTCTTGATTTTTAAATGTTTACACCCCTCAGCAGCAAAGCACTGATCTGATACCCTGGGCTTTGAGGGGCAAGGGGAGATAACTACACATGACCCTGAGATGCATCTTCTTTTTTTTTTTTGTAAATCCCACATTTTATGAAGTATAATAAACATCAAGTGATACAAAACTATGAACCAGAAGTTTAGTACAGTTTTCTTTCAGACATGAAAAGAAATTTGAAATGATGCTTTTAGGAATGATAAGCCCAATACTGTGCACACAGTAGATGTTCTGTATGTGCCTTTTGTTGATGAAAACATCCGAAGTATTAATTGATATCTGTCTTAAAACAATATAATATTAATATGTCAAGCATATTAATACAAATATACTAATCATATTCATAATGACATTAATAACATGGGTTTGACATATTCTCAGTATGACAAACTCTCAATATGCCAAATTCATGTTATTAATGTTAATGTAAATATGATTAGTATATTTATATGATTAATATGACATGATTAGTGTATGTATATATTTTTTAAGATTTTATTTTTTATTTTTTTAATAAATTAATTTTTATTGGTGTTCAATTTACCAACATGCAGAATAACACCCAGTGCTCATGAGATGCATCTTTTAAAAGACCTTTACTGTTCCTCACAAGAGGGCATTTTAGGATGGGTAAGGCTGGTGATTTCAAGGAGAGCCTGCCCTGCTTTAAGCAAATTCTGAATAGCAGTGGTTTAATAACCCTCTCAGGAGACAAGCTGTTCTATGTAAGTACACGTTCCGGTTAAGTGTCCTCTGTATGCAAAGTTTTTTCATTTTAACTATTTTGTTAAATTTTAATAGTTGAGAAACTGAAAACTGCTTCACACACTTCCTTGCCTTCTTAGGGGAAAAAAAAAGGTACAGAATTTTTCCCAGTGCTTTAGGGTGATCAGTACAGTGGGTGTGGGATTTGTGTGCTGCAATGTGGACACTACCCCGTGGCTACAGGCAGCATGTGGTGGACTATTTGCCCCACACTGTAGAACCTGGGCCACGAGGAGGTTTGGATTCCTTACTTCTAATTTTGTTCCATTTATTTATTCGTCCAAGCTGTCCCTTCTTCCTGTACTCAGTGTGTCTGTCCTGGCCTTCCTGTGGCTGCTTCTCAATCTGCTGAGGGATGGGGGACCAGTGCACCACACTCATTCCAGTTCTGTCCAGTTATCCCTCCTCCATCACTGGCTGATGCAGGATAGGAGTGCTGATTTGAAGCAGGCTGCCCATGAGGAGCCGGATGTGGGACTCAATCCTGGATCCCAGGACCAGGACCTGAGCCAAAGCAGACACCCAACTGCTGAGCCATCCAGGCATCCCTCTTTTTTTTTTTAAGATTTTTTTTAAAGATTTTTAAAAATTATTTGTGATAGTCACACAGGGAGAGAGAGAGGCAGACACACAGGCAGAGGGAGAAGCAGGCTCCATGAACCAGGAGCCCGACGTAGGATTTGATCCTGGGTCTCCAGGATCACGCCCTGGGCCAAAGGTAGGCGCTAAACCGCTGCGCCACCCAGTGATCCCTTATAAGATTTTATTTATTCAAGAGAAACAGAGAGGCAGAGATAGGCAGAGGAGAAGCAGGCTTCCGGCCGGGAGACCGATGCGGGACTCAATCCCAGGACCCTGGGATCACCATCTGGAGGCAAAGGCAGATGCCTAACCACTGACCTACCCAGGTGTCCCTCTTTTTTTTTTTTTTTAAGATTTTTTTAATCATTTTTAAATAATCTCTACACCCAACGTGGGGCTCGAACTCACAACCCCAAGATCAAGAGTTGCACGCTCCACCAACTGACCCAGCCAGGCTCCCCAGGAGTATTTCTGTTTGGTTGTTAATGTGGTGTGCAAATGTATATGCACATATGCATGTTACATGTAACATATATAGTGTAACATATAACATGCATGTATATATATATCATTGCCACTTTAATTTTTACTTTCTTTTGAAGTTATTTTAAAGATCTTATTTATTTGAGAAAGAGGTAGAGAGCATGAGTGGGGGGGAAGGGTCAGAGGGTGAGGGAGAAAGAATCTCCTGCAGACTCCAACCTGAGCTCAGAGCCCAAAGCTGGGCTGACGTCATGACTACGAGACCATGATCTGACCCAAAATCAAGAGTCAGGTGCTCAGGGCACCTGGGTGGCTCAGTGGTTGAGCATCTGCCTTTGGCTCAGGGTGTGATCCCAGGGTCCTGGGGTCAAGCCCCACATCGGGCTCCCTGCATGGAGCCTGCTTCTCCCTCTGCCTGTGTCTCTGCCTCTCTCTCTGTGTGTCTCTTGAATAAATAAAATCTTTTTTTTTTTTAAAGGGAGACGCTCAACCAACTGAGCTCCCCAGGTGCCCCTCTAGCAATGCTTTAGAAGGTGTACGTTCTTGTGAGCCTGGGGGGCCCAGTCAATTGAGCATCTGCCTTTGGCTAAGGTCATGGTCTCAGGAGTCCTGCCTGCATGGGTCTCCCTGCAGCTAGGAGTCTGCTTCTCCCTCTACCTTCCGGCCCCTGAGTCATGATCTCTCTCTCTCTCTTTCTCTCAAATAAATAAATCTTAAAACAAAGAAGAAGTGTATATTGTAAGACCCAGAATTTCCTTCTGGAAACTCGTCTTACAGAAATGCTTACACATGCACAGATATATGTATGACGATATTCACTGTGGTAATTTAGAACAGGGGAGAGCAGGAAATGATAGAGAAATCCATCTGTAGGTGGAAGGGGGAGGTAAATTGTGCTATATTCATACTACGTAGTCATTAAAAAATAAAGGTCCTGGGCAGCCCTGGTGGTGCAGCGGTTTAGCGCCGCCTGCACCCCAGGGTGTGATCCTGGAGACCTGGGATCGATTCCCATGTCAGGTTCCCTGCATGGAGCCTGCTTCTCCCTCTGCCTGTGTCTCTGCCTCTCTCTCTCTCTGTCTCTCATGAATAAATAAAATCTTTTAAAAAAATGAAAATGAAAAAAATAAAGGTCCTTCATGTATGCCGACTAGAAAAAGTCTCCATGCAAAAAAAGAGTTACAGGAAAAAAAGTAATAATTCAATGTTGTTGGCTTTTTCCAGATTATTTATTTATTTATTTGTTTATTTATTTAGTGCAAGCAGAGAGAGGCAGAGGGAGAAAGAGAGAGAGAGAATCTTAAGCAGGCTCCATACCCAGCACAGAGTCCAGCACAGGGCTTGATCTTAGGACCGAGATCATGACTCAAGCCAAAGTCAAGAATCAGATGCTTAAAAAAAAAAAAAAAAGAATCAGGTGCTTAACTGAGCCACCCAGGTGCCCCTCAGATTTTAAGTGATCTCTACACCCACCATAGGGCCCGAACTCAAAACGCTGAGATCAAGAGTCACACGCTGCACTGACTGAGCCAGCCAGGTGCCCCTGAAGTAAACAATAATTCTATGTAAAAGTCTTGCTACATCAGGTGTGGTACAGTGACATACTAGCTGGGAGCAGGACACAGATGCGGTCTCGGGAAGCTCCAGTCAAGGCTTCTCAAGTGTAGCTGCATAGAATCACCGAGATGGTTTGACACAAATGCCGAGGCCAGGAGGCCACCGTAGAGGTTCTGATGGGGTAGGTCTGGGGGCCTGGGCACACAGCAGGAATGAACTTCTGCTCCAAGAGCTCAATGAACACAGAAAGGCAGGGACCACAGTGGGAGTTGGGGGTGTGGAGATTCTCCCAGAAGAAACGTGAGTGCCAGGACAGGCCCTTTAGGCTGCTCCTGTGGGACCTTCTCTTTTCTTTTTCTTTTCTTTCTTTTCTTTTTTTTCTTTCTTTTCCTTTCTTTCTTCCCTTTCTTTCCTTCCTTCCTTTCTTTTTTTTTCTTTTCTTTCTTTCTTTCGCTTCCTGTTGGGTTCTCTGTGTGGTGGAACATTCAGACAGCTAGAAAGTGAGCCCGCTTTAAGCTAAGAAGTCCTATAATTGAGAAAAAACACATGTCTACACAGATCAATTTGGGGTTGACTAACTGCATTTTTAAAACCTCACCTAGGCAGCAGTTTCTTTCTGCACCAATCTCCCCGGGACATTATTCTCAGTGTGAGGTCACACCCACCATTTCAATACCACCTCCACTGCCAAAGGGGTGCTTCTCTTGGGTCCAGTCTGACCTGCTGGTACTCCAGTTTGGGGGTGTATTTTGTTTTCCCTAATCCCAGAAATAGCCAAGCACTGGTCTCATTACCTGAAGGAGTCACGAAGTGAAGTATAGCCTGAGCATGCCCACTCCTGCACGCTTGTGCAGACACCACATTCTTCAGGAAGCCCCAAGGGCCCCAATTCCAAGAAGGTGCATCTCACAGAAAGAATGTTTGCATCTTGCCAGAGGTTGTGGGGTGCAGGGTATAACTTTGGAAATCTTCGATACCCTGCAAGATTCTACCAAGATTGCAGCTTGTTATGCCCCAGGAAGTGCCCTAGGTGCAGGGACACTGTACACAGGCTGTGGGGTGGGGTGGGGGGAACACACGCTAGAGACAAGCTGGTGCGGTGTGAAAGGCCCCCAAAGAGAAGCTTTGCATCCATGGTGCAGATGTGCCAGCTGGGGATAGCGGCAAGTCAGAGAAGGCCACAGACGCAGGCGGTAATTGGACCATGTCTTTATGGGTCCGTCCGTCCATCCACCTGTTCATTTATTCAACAAATATTTATTTAGGACCGAAGTCAGGGCCCTGTCCCCAGTATGGGATACAGATGAGGAAGGGCTTCCGCTCAGCACGGCAGATGCCACGCGTGGAGCAGAGCGACTCTGAGCTCAGAGCTGGTGGAGAAGCATTAGGGACAGTTTCTTCCAGGAAGTGATGCTCAGGCCAGGCCCTGAGAACCGAGCAGGAGTTATTCTCCCGGGAGAGCCCGAGAGGCGGGGCGGCCCGGGTTCCAGAAGAGGGCGTAGTCCGTGCAAACTCGGGGAGGGGGGTCTTGGAGACAAGTCAAAGCTCACAGAGGTAAGTTAAGTCCCGGCGAAACCAGCGGTGGAAGCGAGCGAGGGGCAATACCTGTACAGCCTGGGGATGGCGGGAACTCCGCGCAGCCGAGACAAAGGGTGTCCAGGTGCAGGAAGGGCAGGTGAGGCTGGGGAGCTGGCCACGCACCTCGCAAGCGCCGGGAAGCCAGTGCTAAGTCTCAGCAAGGCGGATGGGGGAACCCGGTTGATTAAGAGAATGGGGCGGGGCGGGGGTGATCAGAAGGTTAGGGGACTCCCTCGGAGGGTACTGGAGTCCCAAACCCGGGCCCCAATCAGGGGTACAGCCTGCACATGCCCCCCACACCCACCCTGGAGAGGGGATGGAGGCGGGCGGGCCCCTGCTTAGGACAGCCCCAGCTCAAAAACCACCTCTCCCCCACCGCCCGCAAATATTTACATCCTGTTTAGGCCGAGGCCTCCCAGGGCCTCAGATTTTCATGAATAAAATATGAGTTTCTAGGCCGAGCCAAGGAGGGAAGAAACCCCCGCCTGCTGGTAGGGACCGGAGGCAGTTTAGAGTTTCGGTTGCTGCCGCCTCCCGCGTGGTATTTGGAGGAAATTTGAATTGGCCGATCAAGGTGACCCGGGGCGGGAGATTTGGCATTTTCTATACCTTCTGGGAATTCTAGGAACTAAACCAGTGGCAGCGCACATCCCCTGAATTTTACTCATAGGGCTGTTTCCTGAGACACTCAGACTTTCACTCTTTTATCTTTCTGAAATGTGGTTATACTAAAGCCCAGGCTTTCATAGGCAGAGGGGGACTTTCGGAGATAATCCAGCCCAATGCCTTCCTTTAAAAAAAAAAAAGAAAGAAAAAAAAATTTATTTTATTTTATTTATTTAAGAGACAGAGAACAAGGGGATCTCTGGGTGGCTCAGCAGTTTAGCGCCTGCCTTCTGCCCAGGGCGTGATCCTGGAGTCCCAGGATGGAGTCCCACATCAGGCTCCCTGCATGGAGCCTGCTTCTTCCTCTGCCTGTATCTCTGCCTCTCTCTCTCTCTCTGTGTCTCTATGAATAAATAAATAAAATCTTAAAAAAAAAAAAAAAAGAACAAGAGCATGAGCAGGAGGGGCAAAGGGAGAGGGAGAAGCAGATATCACCACCTCCATCAGGGAACCCCACCCTGGGTTCAATCCCAGGACTCTGAGCTGAAGACAGACACTTCACTGACTGAGCCACCTTTTAAAAAAGAGAAAACCCAGGCTCAGAGGGCAAGGGTCTTGCCCAGGGCCACATAATTGGTTATGGTTCCCTGTCACCTGGTCCAATATTTTTTTTTAAGATTTTATTTATTTATTCATGAGAGATACCGAAAGAGTGACAGAGAGAGAGAGAGACAGGCAGAGACACAAGCAGAGGGAGAAGAAGGCTTCATGAAGGGAGCCCGATGTGAGACTCGATCCCTGGTCTTCAGGATCACACCCTGGGCTGAAGGTGGAGCTAAACCGCTGAGCCACCCGGGCTGCCCCTGGTCCAGTATTCTCTCCACCACATCACGCTTCCTGCAAGTACAAAATTTTGAAATGCATAGACAGTCTATACAGAATGGTTTTGGAGGGATCCCTGGGTGGCGCAGCGGTTTGGCGCCTGCCTTTGGCCCAGGGCGTGATCCTGGAGACCCAGGATCGAATCCCACATCGGGCTCCCGGTGCATGGAGCCTGCTTCTCCCTCTGCCTGTGTCTCTTTCTGCCTCTCTCTCTCTCTCTCTCTCTCTGTGTAACTATCATAAAAAAAAAAAAAGTTAAAAAAAAAAAGAATGGTTTTGGATTATCAGAAAATTGAGCAGATAGTATGTAGACTTCCCATATACCCTCTCCCCTGGCACAATTTCCCCTATTAGTAACGTCTTAGGTGATGTGGTTGATATATTTATTACAATTTTTAACACTTTTGTTTATTTTATTTATTTTATTTATTTTATTTTTATTTTTTATTTATTTTTATTTTTTTATTTATTTTATTTTTTTATTTTATTTATTTTTAAAGTAGACTCTATACCCAACATGGAGCCTGATGTTCAACTTGAATTCATAAACCTGAAATCAACACCCTAGCTGAGATATAGAGTCAGAACAAGGGAGGCTTGGGTGGCTCAGTGGTTGAGCATCTGCCTTAGGGTCAGGTCATGATCCTGGGGTCCTGGGATCCTGTCCCTCTTCAGGCTCCCTGCAGGGAGCCTGCTTCTCCCTCTGCTTATGTCTCTGCCTCTCTCTGTGTCTCTCATGAATAAATAAATAAAGTCTTTTAAAAAAAAAAAGTAGGAGCCGCTGATGTGCCCCCATTTATTACAATTAATGAGCCAGTATCAACACATTAATTAGGGGCACCTGGGTGGCTCAATTGGTTGAGTATATGCCTTCAGCTCAGGTCATGATCCCAGGGTCCTGGGACTGAATCCCATGCTGGGCTCCCTCCTCAGTAGGGAAGGTGCTTCTCCCTCTCCCTCTGCCCCTCCATCGGCTCATGCTCTCTCGCTCCCTCGTGTGCTCCCTTTCACCATCAAATAAAAAAATTTTTTAAATGCTCATAAAAAACTTAGTATTAATTAAAGTTCATAGTTTGCATAAAGATTCTCCCTTTATGTTCAAAAAGTTTTATGGGGCTTGACAAATGAATAATGTCATGTATCCTCTATTTCAATATCTTATAGGATACTTTCACCTTCCTAAAAATCACCTACACTCCACCTATGCATCCTCCTACCTCCTCCTCCCCATGCAGCCCCAAGCAACCACTAATCTTTGTATGTTCTCCATGGTTTTGTCTTTTCCAGAATGTCATATGGTTAGAACTACCCAGTATATGGCCTTTTCAGACTGGCTTCTTTCAATTAGCAATATATATTAAACATTTCTTTCAAGGACCCATAGAAACTTCCATCATGAGTAATGGAGACCTTACAGGTTGGTTGAATATTTCACATTCTTTGTCCAGTCGCACTCCTTCCAAAGATGTGGAAATTCTTTGAAAATGACACAAATTTCTTTTTAATTATAATTAGAGAAGGATTCGGGTTGATGCCTAGACCTGCTTCTTGGACCTTCAGAGAATTTTTCCCCTAGTCCTTCTGATGCTTTCTCCTCAAAAAATTTCTTCACCAACCATTTTTCTCATGAATTTTTGCCTCTCATTTGGTCTTATTTTCTCTTCTGACCACTCTGTAAAACCTCGATTGGAGACAATGTTGGACCAGGTGATGGGGAACCCTGATAGATGCTCACTGATGATTAGCTGAGTGGCCCTGGGTCAGAGAGAGACTTTTGTCTCTCTGGACACTGTTTTTCCTCCGCCAGGCATGTGTGCTAGAATCCATTTCCTCTGACATTTTATTTAATGTCTACAAGTCATTAGTGAAGAAATCCTTATTCCTTTGTTTAATGCACGAGAGAAACACAGTGAGGCCATGAACCATTTGCTCAAAGCCAGGCGGCCAGCAAGTGCCTGGGGTGGGATGGATTTGAACCCAGGTCACCAGACCAGGCCGGGGCTTTAAACCTCCACTTCTTCCTTGGGCAGGCCTTAATTTTCATTTTGATCCAAATTTTTTAAAATGTCTCAAATTTCCCTGGTTTTCACAGTGGCATAACAGTGTCGGTAACCTGAAGAAATACTTTTCCTGGGAAAGAAAGTTCTGGTTTAGGAACTGCTGACCTAAAACCAAACAGGAAGTTGAGCATTCCTGGCTTAAATGGACCATCTGGGACTCTACTAGAATCAGTCCGGAGTGGGGGTGGGGGGAATGGCTGGCAGTTTGCTTCAGCCCAGGCTCAGAGGAGAGAGGAGGAGGACTCAAGACTACAAACAGTCATGGGGCCTGCTGCCCTCCTAGGAGCTGGAAATCGAGGTGGGGGTGGGGAGCAGTAACTGGAGCACAGAGCACACAAGAGGGAGAAGCTAGGGAGGCAGATGCTGAGGACCCAGCCACTGTGCTAATGGGGAACAGTGCTCTGGGTGGGGGCTGACATCAGGCAAGGGGTGGGTGAATCACCCACGGGGCGTTTGGACAGCCTCCCAGGCTGGGGCTAGTAGGTTCTTGCAATGCGTAAGGCAATACTCCGTCTCAGGGAGCCCTGCGCCTTGGTTCCTGGCCTCTGGTGGAAATCCCTGGCAATTCCGAACTCTGAGAGAGCACAGTTACTGCTCCTACAGAGTGCTCACTGCATGCCCCGCGCCCTGGGAACTCTGGAGAAACTGCTACCTCATTTTGCAGCCCCAGAGAGAGAAACCGCCCAGAGTAGCAAAGATTGTTGCCCAAGGTCACAAAGACAGTAAGTGGCACCAGGATCCTTCTTCTTCTTTTTTTTTTAAAGATTTTTTAAAAAGATTTTTATTTATTTATTTATTCACAAGAGACACAGAAAGAGGCAGAGACATAGGCAGAGGGAGAAGCAGGCTCCCTGCAAGGAAGCCCAATCTGAGACTCGATCCCAGGACCCCAGGTTCATGACCTGAGCCAGTCAAGCCCTCAACCACTGAGCCACCCAGGGTGCTACATGGCACCAGGATTCTAAGGGTGGCTGATGGTCCCCAGAGGCTGCACAACCCCACACTATGGCTTGTGTCTTGGGAAAGACCCCCTAGACCCTGTCTGTATCTGCTTTCCCAGGTAACACCCTAGGACCTGGGCCTGGGGTGTCATCTCTGATGTAGGAAAAGTCGTTAGGGTTCGAAGCTAAAAGCCAAGAAAAAATTCTTGAGACGTCTTTGGTGCAAAAAAGGTGATTTTATTAAAACATGGGGACAGGACCCATGGGTAGAGAGAGCTGCCCTGGGGTCATGAAGAGTGGCCCATTATGTACTTTCAAGTTGGGAGGGTGTTAGGGAGAGCGTAAGTCTCCAAGGAGTTTTGGAAGCAAGGTTCCCAGGACCTTGAGGGGGCTAGCTATTGTTGGGAAAAGGTCATCTATTACTGTCTAATAAAACCTTAGTCATGAGACCCTTCAGATGTATATCGGTGAGCCATATGCTTGGGGGATGATCGCCAATATGTACTGTGGAAGTAGAGATAAAGGAGATTTTTTTTTTGAGATTTTATTTATTTATTTATGAGAGACAGAGAGAGAGGCAAAGACATAGAGGGAGAAGCAGGCTCCCTGCAGGGAGCCTGATGTGGAACTTGATCCCTGGACCCTGGGATCACACCTGAGCTAAAGGCAGAAGCTCAGCCACTGAACTATCCAGGCGCCCAGAGATAAAGGAAATTTCTAAAGGAATTTTTATATGTTAAAGTAGACTTACAGGGTCCTGGGGGGTCAGGCTAAGATTACCTTTGCCCTTAGCAAAGTGTCAACATCGAGGCAGCTGAGTCCCTAGATGAATGTCACTCTGCCTGTTTCAAGGACTTGTCAGTGGGCTGTAGGCAGTAGGAAATTTAATTTTTCCTCTGCCTTTGTTTCCCACATCAA